CTCTGGCAGCTGTTGTTCTGCTGCTTTCCTTTGGGTCATATAACAGGAATGGTAGTCTTCATTTACCCTGTTTCTGGTTTTTGTTTTTGTTTTGTTTTTGTTTTCAAAGGTAGAATAGTTACTGTGTCGGATTTTTTGTTGTTGTTGTTGTTGAAGGTGATTTATCTCATCTGTTTCTATTCCTGGCTTTTATTAATGTTTATAAACCTGAAAGAAAAAACGGAGAGAAAGCCAAACGCCCAGACCAGCTCCTTTGCAGTACTCTGTCATGTTTTTGTTTCTGAAAGAAAAGTTAATTTTATGGTAGCTCTGTCAAACATAAAACATTACCTTGTTTAAACAGTGAGCTACCTTTGCTCAAATTCACATTTGTTTGGAATATTTTATGTTATTTCTGTTTTATAGGACATTTATGTGCTGCCCTTCACAGCTATTTTCTGAATTACCGATAAAAATCACTACAGTGGAATATGTTAAAGCATTTATTTTTTATGTGGAAACCCAACTTCTTGAAAGAAGCAGTGTGCAATTGCAGTTGCAACTTGGCAGCCTCTCTATTACAGCCGTGCACTTATGTCAAAATGTCGAAGCCGTTCTGGTACACAAAATTGCACGCTGTCTTATTTTGTTCTCTTAGTCAGTGAAAATAATCTTGAAACTGAGAGGTAAAATAGAAGTACTTTTATGGTCATTTAGGTATTATTTCACAAAGGTCTGCCGGGAGAATGGATGCTGCTCTCTCGTACCTCATAATCTTTCATTTTTCTGAAGTTCAGTTTCACAGCTTTGGTGAGCTATTACCTTCTTGGAAGCCAGTTATTTTTAGGTGACAAACCAGCTTGGTGCTGCAGGTGTGGATGGGCAGTTTCGTAATGGGAATTTCTATTTACTGCCCTTTGTTGTCTCTCTTCACAGTAATCCTGCTGTTATCATAAAACATTTAAGACGATGATTCTAGCTCTTTGTGAATAATAATTTCAAAATGCATTTCTAGTAAAAGGGAAATTAAAGGGCTTTGTAACAAGAATTTTTAAAGTTTCGTCATTCTCTAATAAATGCTTTGTCTCATTTACAAAATGATTAAATAACCCAGAGTGCTTTCAAGGGTGTGAATTGATGGGATGAGCTCTTTACATCTGCTAATGTGGCTCCCATACTAAATGATCTGAATGTAGTCTCTTTTGCTCTGAAGGTGTATCTGTTGCTGTTAACTAGGAAAGATGCACTCAGAAAATGCTTTGTTTTCTTTTTCTCATTTATTATTTATGTAGGAACATGTGGTATGATTATGTTTGACAGGAGATATGAATGGAGAGAAGTCTGCAAGGGATGTTCAGTCCTGCACAGTCTGTTTTGTACAGATAAACCTGCTGGAATTTGAAATACGAGGCAGAACCAAATGTTGGCTTCAAGTTTCTGTATGCTTTTCAGGTAGTGGAATGGTTTATCAAGGCCTTCTCCAAATCAGCAGACTTCGCACTAACAAAACTGTATTAGTGAAAGGAGGGGCTTTGGCTAGCATGGCATTAACCTTGATGTGGCAGAGACACCTATTGGATCTCTGAAGTATTAGTGACAGTAGTGAAATGTCAAGTGAGTGCCCAGAAGAGGTGAGTAGGGATCAGCTTCTCCTCTTAGCGATATTTTCCAGAGTGATCTCTATACCAGCATTTAACAATTCAGTCTTCTGCACGGAGAATGGCACTTCATTCTGTTGCCTTCTTGTAGCTGCTCTAGACTTGGTTTTGCTATGGAGATTGTTTGACCAGCCAAATCACACTGAGTAGATAGAAGATCAGATGAAGCAATGTCATCTAGTAGTCACGTAGTTAAGTGTTGAAAATGACATCACTGTCCAAAATTTGAAGCTTTTTCCTGCTCATAGTTATGCTGTTTGGGAAGTTCCTCAGGTAATGTGAAATCTGTAAGTTCTCAAGGAGAAGCTGGAGAATATCGCATTCCACAGTTCTTCTATTAACCACCAGGAAAAGGGGGAAAATACTGTTGAAAGTCACCTTTACAGCAGCCTCTAGACACCCAGTACATAATGAAGAGGCTGTGAGCTTCTAAGGGAGCTGGAGATCATACGTTTTTGCATCCAACCCCAAAAACATGTTCAAAGGCTAATCAAGGAAACTCTTCCTTTTTAGTTGGTTAACTACAGCAGTTTGGATGACAAGTGTAAAGCTTTTATTCTAAAGCGGAGATCTCTAGACTTGTTTGTATAGTAACTTTCTCTGCTGTCAGCTATAATTGTACCTGCAACTGCTAGAACATTTACACTCTGAAACACGGGGGGGGCGGGCCGTAAATGGATTTTTGGCATGGTCTTTCGTCCTGCCTCCTGGCAGTAGTGGAAAGGAATATGCACGAAAATAGATGAATACAGGAAATGTGTAAGTGAGAACTATTCATATTGGTACCTCCGGTATTTTGCTGCACATCTGACTTCTGATGATTTGCCTGTAATGGCTTCAGTTTAACTGGTTTCTCTGACATAAATTGCATAAGGTCGCTATAATTGCGAACTATACTTTCAGACCCTAAATAGGATGAAAGAATGAGTCATAGGATCGTAGAATACCAGCTTGGAAGGAACCTCAAGGATCATCTAGTCCAACCTTTCTAAGTAAGCATGACCTAGACAAGATGTCCTAGCCCCCTGTTGAGCCAGACCTTAAAAGTGGCCAGTACTGGGGAATCCACCACTTCCTTGGAAAGGTTATTCCAATGGCTGACTGTTCTCATGAAAAAGTTTTTCCTCTTGTGTACAACCAGAATCTCCCCAGGAGTAACTTGTGCCCATTGCCACTTGTATTTTCCATGTAATTCTTTCCATGTAATACATCTTCTTTGTAGCCACCCTTTAAATACTGGAACATGATGATAAGGTCTCCCCTGAGCCTTCTTTTCTGTAGACTGAGAGATTAGTCATTGGTAGCCAATAAACTTCATGCTTTCAAAGGTATCTCAAAATCTGCATGTTCTTAGTGGATTTTTCAGAGACCTAAAACAAATAGATTATCCGTGTCACATGTGTAGAAAGAACTTCCAAAGAGTCTCTAGGGAACGCCTCTCATCTCTGTTCTCTCCAGTTTGGTAATGGTAATGGTTTTAATGACTGAACAAGTTCATATTTTAAAATGAAATAGGCTTTTTTTGCTTTAAGGGAATGTTTTGGGGGAATGTGCTTTGCGTGCAGTTTATAGGCCAGTCCCTGAAGGAAAGGTGTTGCAGAAGATTCTCCTTGCAATTGTGCTGCTTCTGGCATTAGAAATGGAGGCAGAGAAATGAGGTGAAGATGTGGTATCTTCCACGAAATGGCTTGGGAACCTTTTCTCATGGTCTTTGTGCTTGTCTCTTCTGGGTAAATAAGTCTTAAGAGCTACCATAATCTTGAATTTGTAGAAAATAACCTTGAAGATTTTGTTTGTTTGTTCATAGCCTTTTAACAAAAACTTGATGGGAAGGGACAAAGCCACTAGCATGGCAAAGATACGTTGTTGTAAAGCATGGCATGTTCTTTCTTCCTGCCTCCTGGCAGTCGTCTGTGTCTTACTGCCGTAAGACGGGTAAGGCTGGATAGTATGTCTGTTAATGAGAGTCTGAGTAAATGTAGCAGCATAACACCTGCAAATTATGTTTGATTATTTGTGCTGGCACGGACAAGAAGGGGATTAAAAGCGATGGAACGAAATGGTGGGCTTTTTCCCTGGTTATCAGAGAAATTTAAAGTCCTAAGGAAAAACAACTAAAATCCTGGATCACAGCAGCCTCTCTCCTCAGGGCTTGGTGTTAACTCTTTTGAAAGTCCTGGAGCTCTGGCTCAGGCTGGAAAACTGCAGGGAGCCGTTTCCTCTGTTTTGCATGGGATGAGGTGGCACTTGAGCACAAAAGACCCTGAGGAAACCTGCTCATGTTTGAATGCCGCAATATAGAGGTGAAAAGGCATGTTGCCAGCCCTGTTGCAGTAGTAGTTTTTGGTGAAGTGGAGGAAGTAAGAAGTCAGAAATACAGAGGAGAAGTACTTGTAATACTTGGGTAAGCATCTAAAAACTTCATAACTAGAAACTCTAAAGGTCAATAGGAACTCCAACTGAAAATTTCCTATCCTTTCTCTGCCTCCCAGCTACCAGTGAACAGCCACAAATGGAGTCATACATAGTCTGTGGTACTTTGGTGAGAAAGAGGAAAACGTCACTGGTCCATAAACGCAGAACTTTTTTGTTTAGAAGCTGATATTGTTGCAGGGAGATAATTGAAATAAACTGTTCTTTGCTGAAGGATATAGCAAAGGCTGCTACTTTGCTGCTAGTAACACGTGGCATTTGTTTTTTTCAATTTGTCTGTGTTGTAGGACTATTTGGTTTGTGAAATTTAGCTACCCAAGAGGTCAGTGATGATAGTACAGTCTATAGTTGCCTAAGCAAGATAACAAAGGCCCTCCTTTCTGTACTAGGAACATAAGCTGTTTGTCTTGCTTTTCAAAGTCCTCTGCTTCCTCCTTCTCTCCATAGCTATTGTCTCTTGCTCAGTCCCAAAGAAAAGATCAATTCCTGCCTCTCCGTGTGATTGCAAAGCCAGGCTGTATTGCCTCCTTGTTTTTCAAACAAACATCTGTGTGTTCTCCCCATGCTGCCTCTCAGGCTTCAAAGCAACCTTCCAGAAACATCCACAAAGCTTTCTCCTCACTTCTTAAGGCCTTGCAACAGTATCCACAAGCCTTTGAGGAGGGCTAATGCTTCTGAGGTGCTTTGAGTATTAAACAAGCTGTAATGTCATTTTGTTTCTTTATTCCCTCATTTCCATATCCCTTTTCACGTACTTAACTTTTTCTGGCAAAGACTGCCTTTTGCTCTAACCCACAGCTAGTGCCTGTGGGCTCTTTGATAATACAGATCATGAGTAAGAGCTCACATGCATGTTTAGCACAGTGTTTGAAAAAGTATTGCAATAAGTGGGCTATTACGTTATTAATGCTTCTGTTTTATCTTCCACAGAAGCCCCTTGTGCTACTCCACTGATCTGTAGCTTTGGAAGGGCGGTGGATCTGGAGAAGGATGACTACCAGAAGGTTATATGCAACAACGAGCATTGTCCATACAGCACCTGGATGCACCTTCAGTGCTTCTATGAGTGGGAAAGCAGTATCCTCGTCCAGTTCAATTGCATTGGCAGAGCCAGGAGCTGGAATGAAAAGCAGTGTCGCCAAAACATGTGGACAAAGAAGGGCTATGACCTAGCTTTTCGCTTTTGCTCCTGTCGGTGTGGGCAGGGTCATTTAAAGAAGGACACTGACTGGTACCAAGTGAAGCGAATGCAGGATGATAAGAAGAAAAAGTCCGTGTTGGAGAAGAGTACAGGAAGGTCAGTGGCAGAGTCAGCAGAGGAGGCCAAAAAGGGCAGGCCAGCCAACAAGCCTCAGAAAGGCTTGAGTAATGACATCCAGCGAAGGCACTCGATGGACCGGCAGAACTCCCAGGAGAAGGGTATCATGGGCGGCAGCTACACCATCCGTTCGCCTTGCGTCTCTCCTGGCCAGTCCCCACCCACCGGCTACTCTATTCTTGCGCCCACACATTTCAGCGTCCCTCGTTCCTCCCGATACCTAGGAGAGTTTCTGAAGAATGCCATTCACCTGGAGCCCCATAAGAAGAACATGGCCGGTGGGGGCATGTTCAGGAACGCGCATTTTGATTATGGGGCAGCTGGCTTGCAAGCACATAGGTCAGGACACTTCGATGCCCCTGTGCAGTTTTTGAGAAGGCTCGATCTGTCTGAGCTGCTTACTCATATCCCCAGGCATAAATTGAATACCTTCCATGTGCGGATGGAAGATGATGCCCAGGTGGGCCAAGGGGAGGACCTTCGGAAGTTCATCCTTGCTGCTCTTAGTGCCAGCCACAGGAACGTTGTAAACTGTGCACTATGCCACAGGGCGCTGCCAGTGTTTGAACAGTTTCCGCTGGTGGATGGGACCCTGTTCCTTAGCCCATCGAGACATGATGAGATTGAATATGATGTTCCCTGTCACCTTCAAGGTACAGGTTGCCTGTCAGTCATGCTAGGTTTCATTAAATGATGGAACTGCCTTCTGTGCCCTGTACTCCCCATTGTAGGTTTTCATCCCAGTTCTGCATTTTTAAGCAGTTCTGTAGAGCCTGAAGTCACATGCAAATTAGTCACGTGGATCAGATTGAAACAGGAGCAAACAAACACCAAAAGCAGATGCTGTATAGAAAGATCCATGCCTTGTGTTTTGGTTTACAACTAAAATGTTTCTCATCTTGATTCTAGGTAGATCCTGGGAAGGTTTCCCAGCCAATCTGTTCTGCAGCATGTGTGTTCTGATTTATCTGTTGTGAGCTTTACTCCAAGATATGCATCAACCTTTTAAACAACCTTTTCTATTTAAGCATGCTGTGCTGCGGTGTGGGTGAATGTTATATTTGTACCACTGGTGAGGTGAGATGCCTCTCATCTGCTTTCAGACTGAAGAATGTCAGTTCTGTTTTATAGCAAACTGTTTTTTTTTTTTTAATATGGAAAGGACTATAGTCTGGCCTATGTTAACACTGGCCTGGAGAGGCTAGACATAGTAAAAGTAAGCTTTTAATATGGTGGGTTGAAGGAGCAAAGGCATAGTGAGGGGTTTAGACTTACTTACTTCCAAACTCCTGCCTGTTTGGATTGCATTCTGATCATGCCCCAGCTTTGAGCTGAGTTGAAACCAAGGAATGTATTACTTGCCTCCTCCTACAGGACCAAAAGGATGTGGGCTAGGATGCATATCAGCTCTTCCTGAAAGCTGTGCCCCAGACTAGGTGATCAGGGTGGTACATGGCAAAACATGCCTGTCCCGCATCCTGCTGGTAGCCAGCATGGCTCAAGTCAGTTAGAGAAAGTATGGGTGTTCAAAAACATAGAATTATATGTCGAAAAGGGTGTTGGGAAGGCACTAACAATGTATTTTAACATTTCAGTTTCTCTCCTTTCAATAAATTTATTATATCCTATGCATGGTCATAATACATGTTATGCAACATTCCTTTGCTCAACAAACTTTGTATTGTTTTATTTCTCTCCCTAAATCATTACGCACTAAGTCACTGAACTGTATGCATGCTAACATTATTGTTTCTGCATTGTGTAATGTACTTTAAGGAGAAGAAGTGATAGGCAAATACGCAAGCTCAAAAAAGCTCCAGGATAAACGGAATGTATGTGTGTGAGATAACAGTGCTTTTTTACTTTCATGGGGAGGCATGCACAATGTGCTTGTGATTTCATCAGTCCTAAGAGCTGGTCTAGCAATAGTGAAACTCATCATTCTTTAACATTTCCCGCTAAGAATGAAAAACTCTGCAAAAATATGTCTTTTAATTAATTGCTCCTTACCCATTGGCTGATACATCTGAAAAACTCAGACAAGATGCTGTCAATAATTAATTGTTAAAATTTTTACCTCCTTATCCTGGGTAAAATGGTTTATTATCACGAGTACTCTTTGAAATGAAATTAAGCTTTTAAGGTGTGGTTCCAGGGTGTATGCAAAATCACTTCTTTTATTTCAGGCATGTTTAAGATATCATGTGCCTCATTTCCTGCATACAAAAGAATTTAAACAGTGGGGGAATACAGTATTTTAACTCGCAGGAACAGTGCAGAACTTCAGATGGGGAATATTATTTTATCTTCCTGCACAACACAAGTCTTCTGTCCGTGAAATTATTTGAATGTTTCCAATCTCAAGTGTTCACTTTAGGAACAGAGTTTATTATGTTTGCACTTCAGTCTCATTGCATCACATTTTCCAGAGCTGAACACACCAGTGAGGAATAGCTCAATTTTTGCCAGCTCATACTACCAAGTTTATTTTGTATATATATTTTAGGAAGAATCCGGTTTTTACTTCTGATTTTTCTAAAATAACTGGTTGAAAAACCAAAGCAAATTTAAAACCCAAACTATTAATTTTGAAAGTATATGGTATGGACTTATCATAAATTGTCAATATTTCATTCCCTTTTATCTAGAAAAGGTACAAGATGTGTGTGTTCATTAAATTACAGGTTGTGATCAGTACTTTGATGCTAAAGAGCACAAATTGCAATCCAAAGTAAACACATATTACATGCAAGTAATAAGTCCTGTTTTGTAGCTGATCTGTAACTGCACTTCTTCTTAGCTTTTCTTATATAGCAGTACAAAATATGGTGTATTACAGATTACTACTCTGTGACAGCCCACTTCTAATAGCCAACTACTAAACAAAAAAGATGAATTCAGTCACTACAAATCGTGCATAATCTAGGTGACAGATCTCCATAATTTATGCAGGACTTCTTATTTTGTGTGAAATTTGCATCTTGGATTTTGCATTGGTGAGCTTAGTCAGATTTATGTAGAGAAAATGCTTCATTTTCAAGTCCGAGCCACTTGATTTTTACGGAAGTCAGTATAACTCAGGTTTTGAAATTGACTGTGCATACAAGCCTAAGGTCATGATAGGGCTCAATAGATTTGTAGTTCTGAATGGCATGTTAAAGTCTGTGTATGTGAAATACATATAATGTTTTTAAATATACTTAATGGTCAGAAAAAAAGTACATGAAAGAAAATTGCTCTTCTTGCTGTTGCTTTTTTCCAGGAGGAATATCAGGTCCTTAATTCCATCTTTGCTGGAAGATGCTGACAAGTTGTTAAATGAATCTATACCCAGCTTGCTAATAAGCTTCAACACTTCTCCGCTCTTTCTGTCAGGTGGAGATGAAGCTAGGCACAATCCTGGTTTTGGAAACACTGCAGCTGATTATGTAGCTTAACCTGGCATCTGTACATGGAGTTTCAGCAGTGCCTTTTATAAAATATATTGCTAAGCTGTATCAGCAAATGGGGAAAGGAGGGTGGTCAGGGTGATGACTAATTCCTGAGTTTTACATACATGGAAAATAGCTTCAGTTGAGCCCTATGCATTTCCCATAGAGAAACATTTTTTACTTTATCATTTATCCTTAAAAAGAATAAAAATTAATAAGGTATGATTTGTATCACTGTTGGGCAGATAACACATTGCAGGAAATGTCTGTTTTAATCTTCTGTTCTGGTCTCATTAAGAAGTGTCTTTCCTGTCTGCAGGAAGGCTTATGCACCTTTATGCTGTTTGCGTAGACTGCTTAGAAGGGGTTCACAAAATTATCTGCATTAAGTGCAAGTCCCGATGGGATGGAAGCTGGCATCAGCTGGGAACTATGTATACCTACGATATTCTGGCAGCATCTCCCTGTTGTCAGGTTAGTACCATATGGAAATAAGACTCATAAGGTGAAATTCCAACTGATGATAAGTAAAGCCAAGGTTTCTATATCTCTTTTCCTTTCTCTTCTTCCATCCTTCTTTTCCAGCCTGTACCTGTGAGTGCAATACAAGACAGCTGACCAAGTCCCTGTGCCTTTGTCTTAACTTATGAGGCCCAGTGGCCTATAGCTAGACAAAGGCCAGTGATCAGTAGTTAGCTTTTTAAATAAAGCCCCTTTAAATGTATTAACAATTAAATCTGATGCTTAGGATTATCACTAGCAAGTATGTTCAGTATCTGGTGTAATTCCAGTAGTAACAATTGTAATAACAGTTGCACATTTCCAGCACATGTTTCATGTATGCAGATTTTTTTTTAGTTGGTTGAATTGTGTTTTACCATAATTGTAGCAAAAAAACCCCAATGGAATGGAAAGGTCTAAAGTGACTTTGTGCTTAGAGACTACCCAGCTCTACTTAATCTTTGCTGTGGTTGACTCTCATGATGGTACTCCGGCACAGCCTGCAGCAGCTTATTTTTCATTAAGTGCTCGCTGAATCTATACCTTGGGTGAGAAAGATCCAAAGCCTGGGTTTACTGCAGAGTAGACATCTGCCTGAGGGAGCAGGATCATCGGCATCCAAGAAAATTGGTCATGTGATGGGCAGAGCACTCTGTTGTGCAAGTAGGGGTAGACAGCCATGGAAAAAGCGTTTGTCTGGGAATAGCTCAGTGGTCCACTGAGATGCTCAGGAGAGGGCTGTTGCTTTTGGTATTGTTACTGACTTAGGACAAGAGCCTTGCAAAGTCGCACTCACTCGAAGTGTGATCACTTCATGGTAATGTGTGTGCTTCAGAGCAATCTAAAATACCGTTTTGTCAGTATGTGAAATGCTATTTTACTTTACATTTAACATACTTAACAAAATGTGTTGCTCAAAAGACAAGTGGTATTGCTGCTACTGGTTAAAATGACATTGACAACGATTATAACTAAAGACAGAGATACTGCCTCCAAATTTAGTGCCTCTTGAGACTGTAACCTTTTTTAAAAAATAGGCATTTCTAAAGATAAACTACTGATGCTGATATGCTAGCTCTGTAAAAGCCAGCAAATTTAAATGTGAATTGCTTCTGTTGAATGTACAAGACAAGAATTAAGGTCTCATTATACAAGAGCCTTAATTATATGATTAATGGATAGTGTGACAGTACATGGTAAGTAATAGAACTGACTGTGAAATCATTAGCTGCAGTGACTGTAATTGCCAGATAGTGTGCCTTATTGTTTCACCATGATTGGTACAGATGATTCCATGCATACAGAGGAATGACATTGAAATATGGTATATGATTTATTGCCCTGCTAATTTTATTTTGAATAATTGCATACCTTATTTCAAAGTATTTAATCACACATTACAAAAGGGCATGTAGGATAACGAATTGCAGCCACTCTCAGATTACTAGCACCTTGTTGATGTGCTGGATAGTAGCAAGAGGGAAAACAACATTTTACTGAAAAAAAATCCTACAAATCCATACCGTACTAGATTGTATTTCTTGAAATTTCTGCTTTTCAAGCAGAGCAGATGGTTGTGGAGCTGGTGGTTTGTTTCTTTTTGAGTCTTGTCTCAACGGTAATAGTACTTTAATAATTTCTTCTTCTTCTCATCCTAGGAAAATTCCTTAAATCAAGATTGCCATAGAAAATGTTTTTTTGTTCTTTGCAGTGAAGAGCTAAAGCTTTCATTAGTGTACTGGGCTTTAAGTGAGTTTAAGCTATGGCGCAGCTCAGGCCCCCACTGATCATTTGCTACCTTTACTCTTAAACTCCTTTACAGTCTCAAATCCCTTCTGCTTCTTGTGTGTATTTCAAATGGCCTGCTGAGCTTTCACACTGCCTCTTGCTTTCTTTACATCAGCTGGGCTAGGTTTCTCAGCTAGGTTTCTTCTGAAGACTTACTTTTTTTGTTACTGCTGAACATTAATAGCTCTGTCTGTCCTCACCCTTGACCTTTAATTATTTCTCATATCCACCCAGTTAATGTTGGATTTTATAGAATACTTTGTGTCTTTGAAGTGGTGTTTAGTTTGTATAACCTGATATGTATTATAAATGTTTAAATAGATACTTAAAGTGATACAAAACCATGCCGTGCTGATAAAGTAGATCGAGCTATAGATTTGTTAAACCAAAGATTAAAATGCTGACGTATTTCATAGATCACGTTCAAACGTCAACCTAAACAGTTGAATTGCATGGCACAAATGTAAAATTTCTCTCTTTGCTTTGGGGCTTCATTAATGATTTACTGAGACAGCACTTCTTGTGCTGGGGATTGAGGAATTCTCTCAGAGTTTAAGCAACACAAAACAATCATTTGCATAAATAAACTGAAATTCTCTACCTCCCGTCAGTCAGAGTGGGAGGTAACCTACTCTCTAGAATTCAGTGCTGGCATTTCATGTGGAAAGCATTGTGTACGCCTGCAAGTTACCGGTCCTGGTGAGGAATGTCTTTACCCTCAGATCCCGTTGTCGCTGGTTTTCTGACTTACCCCTTGTCCTGCCAGGGAGGGCAGGGCAGGGACTGTGTGTGATGCCCTTGTTTTCAGCGGTGAGTATGGTTATTTCAAAAGGGATTTTTTTGTTTCTTTGTGTTTTTACAGGCTCGACTGAACTGTAAGCACTGTGGGAAGCCAGTAATAGATGTACGGATTGGCATGCAGTATTTCTCTGAATACAGCAACGTCCAGCAGTGTCCTCACTGTGGAAATCTAGACTACCACTTCGTGAAGCCATTTTCTTCATTTAAAGTTTTGGAGGCTTATTGACGAAAGCTTTGCTTTAGTAATAGCTATTTTATGGGTATTTCAACTTTATTACATATCTTTTTATAGGATTCATTCTGTGATGAAATTTGATTTTTTTTCTAACTGAAAGAGCGGCTTCTTTGTGTACATATTAATATGTATATATACATGTTGTTAAAACCAGAACCCTCCTGACAAGATCTCTCTGAAGGTTGGAGGCAAGCCAATTTAATGGCCTTTGAATATATCCTGGGTGGGGGGTAAAGTTCAGCTGAAAATGATTTGGGTTTATTTTTTTGTATAATTGTAATACAGTTTATAGAAAGGATGTGGGGAGACATACAGGACAGAGAAATATGTCCTGTTGGAAAGTGGGCAGTTGTGTAGGGGCTGTTGTCCCTCCAGCTTGGTGGAAATGGGAAATCCCTGGAAAGAAACCATCCTGTTACTATTGAATTCCTTCAGCCTTTTGCATCGGTTCCCATGGGCACAGAAGCTGGCCCTGTGCTGCCAGTCACCTGAGCAGGCTTTCTTGCAGATTTCCTGAGATGGGGTAAACTAAGGTATTGTGACAAGTGAATGTAAATGTATGCCAGAAAATGCAATCTTGAAATGAATTATTTTTTTGGCATAGTGTCTTCCTGCTGTGTGCGTTTGATGTGTGTTGCCTTCACTGACGGACCGTAGGGCAATAGTGCTACTTCCACTGGGGTTGTCATTGTGCCCAGCCAGCTCATCTGTCCATACCAAAACAAGCTGGAGGTCTTAAAATGCTTTATTTAAAGGTGTTTGTTCACAGCCATTTCTGGGGGGGAACAGGCTGAGCTGAATGGGCATGTGTTTGTATGTGTCTGCTGGGGCTGGGGCTTTGCTGCCTACTGCAGACTGGTGTGGCTGGTGTGGAAGGAGGACCATGAAGCAGGATCTGGGCTGTCAGACCTGTAAGAGCTGAGAGGTACTGAATACAAAATACAGCATCGCTTTTTATAACAATTAATTTCTGCACCTTTGTCTTCCAAAATGGCATGAAGTCCAGGATTTAAAAACTTGGAGACTATGCAGACTTGGCATATTTGCTTTCTATATGCCTCTGTGCTGTATGAAATAAGACTATGCATTAGTCAGTGAATTTGTATCAGAGGGCTTGGCTCTATAGACTCTGCGGTTGTTGTAGACTCTGCAGTTGTTGTTTCTTGGTTCCCATTTCTTCCTTCCTTAAATAAAGTTTTTAAAATAGGTCATCAATCTTTTGCTTGGTTTCTCGAGGCTATTGAGATTTACAGGAGAGTTGGGGTTATTTTTTGCTTTTCTCCGTAGTGTGTTTATGGAGTGTTTGTCCACTTGAGAGGTGTGGGGTTTGTTTCTATTTATGAGGCATGATTTTTTGTTTCTTCTGAAGTTTATTTTATTTCCAAATACAAATCTTTTTAAAGAGTGTATCTGTTGAAATCATGATCCTGAAAATGGCCCTAATACTCTGCCACCCTGGGAGAGAAAACAAAAAAGTCACATGCCAAACAAGTGTTTCATATGCTGGTCTGAGAATTACGTTTTCTGCTAAGTTAAGAAATCGATGTGCTTATAAAACTAGAACTGAATATCCGTGTTTCTTTGTGCATAAAAATGCCAAGTTCACAGTTTTATTTCCTGTCTGTCTTCACTGCAGAATTAGCTCCTTCTAGTGTTAGCCACTCTTTGAGTAATACTCAAGCTGCACAGAGGGCTTATATTAGTACAGATGACTTACTGCTAACTTGAGTGGTAATGTCCTTAGAAGGCAGGCAGCAGTTGTTAATGGTATTGTCATCTCGACTGTCTATCTTGTACAGTTACACAGCCTAGTTAGCTGTGCAGTGAGATTTCCTTTATGGGGAACAATCATAATTTGAATTAACTCCTCAGGGAGGATGGGCCCTTTAGCTTTGGTGCGTTGGGCAACCTGATGGAGTTAGGGTGGCTAACAAGGTTTGGAGTCATGTTGCCTGGCAGTACCATGAGAACCAGACCAAATAGACAATGGGTAGACTGTTCGAGCAGTCTGAAATCACACAGCAATTACAGCTCCTGTAATGACAAAAATTAAAGGGCACATCTGTTACTGTAGTGTTTGTTCTTGAGTGCCAGTCACTCATACTGTGAGTCTAGGGTGTTAATTCCCACATGGGCTACATGGTGCTCTGTATCCACTTTTTATGCACTTGGAGAGGGGAGGTGTCATGGCACAACGCACACAGTAGGAGAGATGTGGCATCTGGAGTCCTTCTAAATACTTGTTTATTTGGTTTCCTTAGAGTAGCTTAATTTATCATTCTGTTTTTTAAGTACTTAGATGCTTCTCCAGACATGTATGTGTGACAATAGTGAATGAGTAGACATGGAAAAAGGGAATTTGGCTAGCTTTAAAAACACAATTGTGTGCAAGGTTGTACAGGATATTCAAGTCAAAGCAAAGAACGCAGCAGACTGAGAAAATGGGAAGGTGTAAGCATATTTAAAGTCTTAACAGTGCAAGGAGTTATGTAGAAATTCATCCAAGAAAACCATTTGGTTCTCCATCAGCTTTTCCTTTTAATTCTGCTGTTCAGTGAATCTTGTCTACCACTGGAGGAAATGCCTGTTTTCTTCCAAAACACATCTCTCCACTGGAGGCTAGCAGCACTTGTAGCACTGTAAAAATGATGCTCGATGGAAACCAGCTGAGCTACAGAAAGATTCCTCTGAGCTTTCACTCTGATGTAAATTGTAGAGAATGCTTTCCTTGCTTCTTGCTGGTACTGAAAACTGGTCTTCAGTTACTGCAAAATGCAGTATTTTCTGTAACATGCATCAGATGTCAGTGAAGCAGTCAGGCCCACTCTTTGGCCATGAGAGTTTGAGCTGGGCTTTGCATAAGTGGAAAGTCAAAGGTAACTTTTTTGGGACCTAATAGCTACTTCAGAGTTTAAACTAGACTGCAGTTGATTTGCTTTCTGCCTTGATGAGCACTTGAAGTTGTCATGAGCTTTTAAATGTGTCAAAAGGGAAATGATTTCCCTGGTTCCTTGCTTAGGTTATTTGGCTAAAGTTTATTCTTCATTACCTTTCATTTTTCTGATACTGTGTGGGTTTTTTTAATCGGGCCTGTGATCAGATTAAATTGCACCTGAAATATGGTTTGTAAAAGAGAATACAGTCCTCTGGATTCGAAAGTTCATTCTACTCTTCTTTAGTGCACGATGCTCCTTGAGATAGTAATAGGAGTTGCATGTGCAAATGCTTTTCTTTCCAGTAGTTAACTGTTTTCCATAGGAGAGGCTTGCATTTAGATAGACTTCATGTTTTGGATGTGTAAAAATGAATTAATCCGTCAGTGGGGTGTTTAAATCTTGATAACCATAACTAACATGATGGACATCTTTCACATGCTGATCTGTAATTCGACATCTGCCAGAGTGAACAGCCTGAAATTCTTGTTCTGCCTAATGCTGCAGAGTCATTAAAACTACAGTATTCTATAGCCAGCCCATAGACTATCCTATAGTCTATTTCCATTGACATCTCCAATAGTGAGCGTTGTATTCCTTATGAATTTAGTTGGGAAAATAGGGAATATTCCTACAAGGGAGGCATCTAACCCAGTTTCTTTTCTCTTTTTCTCCTTTTTTTTTTTTTTTCTTTTTTTCTTCCTTCTTTCCCATGTACTCTTCAATTTACTGTACTAGGTAACTGAGGGCAAACACGTTGTAAGGTCATTGGTGAGAAAACCCCTCAAAAATACACTTGTCCATAAAGGTTTCTTGTTGAGACATTCTTTGCACTTTTGCAGATGGGAGAATATGTACATAGCAAATGAATGTTGATGAAATTAAAATAATTGGTTATGATATCATTTGCGTGTGTTGTTAGAGAATATTTTGTTGTGACTTCTCTGTATTAAAAAGTAAATAAATACCAGACAGCTAACAGTGTGGGTTCTTCTTTCCCCCTTCTTCTCTTGACTATTTATTACTCCTGCTCTTTATAGAGAAACTTACTCTAGTTGCCCTAAGTATTAAAGGGCACAGAGAAGACAGGTTTTCAGTGTCAATTAAAATGAAGCTTTGATATCATACTGTACTAAAAGGGATAGAGGGAGGTGATGTGTCCCCTTGCAAAACAGAAATCTTGTTCACTTTGTTGACATTGAAATGCTCTCCCTGTAGTGTAGTGTGTCCTCTAGGAGCTGATTCAGGAATACCTGTGTGTTGCACCGGCCATTGGCTGTGGGGATGAATAGAGGACAGTGTTGAGTCCTTCACTTCTGGTTGAGTCTGTTAATGGAAATATGCCCTCCTGTGCCTGAGAAATACCAGAAGGGCTTCTCTAGGGGGGAACACAATACGGCAGCACAAGGCAAAAGGTTTTCTACGTTACAACTGAACACTTCATCTCTGAAACTCTGTTGCAAGGGAAGGAGCCTCAGATCCTTGCTTCCTGCATAAGGTTTTCAGTATTTTGACTAACCATCTAATCATGCATTTTAGCAAACCTTGCTCCATATGCTTACAGCATGAGTTTTCAGCCCTTGCATATTACCACAGGGAAGTTCAGGAAGGACGTAAATGATCAAGGCAATCTGGACTTAGAAAAGATAAAGCAAATACTGCCACAGGGGAAGGAGGGCCACAGCTTGAGAGAGAAGTGTGATTTAGGGATTGGAAACACTAAAGAGCCAGCCGTAGCTGTTCAGGTCTAATTTTGGAAGCAGATGCTGTAGCTGGCTTGAATAACCTTGAAGCTGAAAAACTGTATGTTGTGTTAATTATGAAAAGCACTCTGGATAGCTGCCTCTTAAAAGGCAAAGATCTGTTTACGAGGTGAAATTACAAATAAGTTGCCATCAAGTAATTGCAAGTGATTCCATATCGATATTTTGCTGAAGGGATCTTAGGTCATGGTTTAAGCCTGTGTGGGAAAACTAAATGAGAACTAATGAAGACTGTTCCCCAAGTTTAATTACTGCAGTCGTTACCACTTTTGGTAGTGAGCATTAAACTCCAGAACTTCAGGTTTGATCTGCTGCGGTAATTACTGTGTTGCTGAAAGAAGCTGCATAGCATTCTGGGAATGTGGAGGAAAGAAAAAGTTACTGAAAAAAAAAAAGCTTTTCAAGCTGTTACATGATAGTGTATGCAGTTAAAGTAGGGATGGCACAGGCAAATTGGGTTAGGAGCATGCCTGGGCTCATGTTCCTGCTGGAGGCATCCCTGATTGTATCAGAGGAAGTGAATGAGCTATTCAGGCTGCCATATGTGTGTGGGTGCGTGCACCTAAAAATACATGTCCAGGTTTCACAGAGCTATATTCATATTTGATTTCTATTCTGACAGAATTCTGAGAAACAGCTTCTGTTCATTCTGATGTTAGTAAAACGTGGCCGTAGAAAACAAAACTTTCTCTCCAAAACAGCTGCAGCTGCTGTGCTTTGTCACTGACTTAATACGTTAGAAGTTTTTGGCTTTAAATATGTGTATTAGTCACTGGGTTTCCTGCACATTTCCTTTTCATTCAGGGATGGCCAACCAACATCAGTGGGATGTGCAGAGAAACTACAGCTGGTATAGCTCTCAGCCTTAGCAGCATCGAGGCGTAACTCTCAAGCCATGTTCCAAGGAGAAATTTGCTCCTTCCTCCTATGAAAAGAAAGGTTTCCTCTTAGGAGGGCACCTGCTGGAGTGCTGTGTATTCAAGTTTACATCTGGCTCCATTATCTACTGTAACCCTGAAGCTATTCCCTTTTGTTAAACATGCAGTGCACTTGTTTTCTTGTGAGAAAAACATGTGCGTGGATCACATCCATCTTACTGCTGCTGTGTCCCATTTTCCTGGCTACACTCTCATTTAACAAGCAGTTGAAAAAAATAAAAAGCTCCAGCAGGATCTTTTCAAAATAAAAATCTGGTTATCCAGTTACAGAATAACAAATCAATGCTGCCTTTGTGTGATGCCTGCATGACTCTTACTAACACAACAGTCGTAACTGTGGAACGGATTCTTTGGAGATAGAAGGTAATCCAGCCATAAAATTGGGGAGACTTAAGTAATAAACTAAATTGCCAAATACTTCTGACTTTCCTTCAGTGCCTGAGCTTTCAAATGAGTTTGGCTCCAACCTAAGTAATACCTTGTGTTTGGCATGTGATTAATAGCAGGCTCAGTTTAATTGTTTGGGACTTGTTCTAAGAAACATCCCTGCTAGCTGATGTATAATGTTCACAGGCCTCTAAATCCCCACATGACAAACTGATCCTTTTTGTATTCGTGTGTTTAGGAAGCATCATTCTATTGGCACAGGACACAAGTACTAGTTGAGGTTACTCAACGGTTCTGAGAACAGCTTTTCCTTTCCTACATCTTCTATAAGACTTGGAGGCAGATGTGCTCTGAGATCAGAGACGAGAGGAAGATCAAGAAACTGAATAAGAATTGAGGATCAACATTTTAATAATGAGGAAATGTTTTCTTTAAAGCTTTGTTTAAATGGTTGTTACGGTTACAAGCTCTGTAACCAGGATACTCCAGTTACACAAATAGTAATTTAGCCTGCTTTTTAATCTCATTTTCTGCCAAAGAATATATTGAACTACATGGGAGTCTTTCCTTGCCATGGGGCAGCGTTTCCATTCAGTGCAGTCAGCTCTAGTTGGCTGGCTGGGCCACTGAGGAAAAGGGAGCAGGCTACAGACCTTAGCGTAGAGCCGGGGAGGACATGGGAACCAACTGGCTGGTAGCAAAATGCTATGTAAGCTGTAATTCACTGCTGAAGGCCATATGGCAGCCAGGCTGGTTGGAGTACAAATTAACTGCAGAGTAAGGGGCATTTCATGACAAAAGTTTTATGACAGTTTTTCCTGGTGTTTTTGTACGCAGTCCTCACTTAAAAATTGTCAGTGCTTGTAACTTGCTGAATTTAACTTCCTGTAGCTCTGGCTGGAAGTCCCTGTTCTGCTTCTTCACCTCTTCCCTGTCACTCGTGCTGGGGCTGAAGGGATGCTCACAGTCAGGGGAATATGGACCTGGTTACTTCCAGACCCACTAAGCTGGCTGTCCTGGGTTCAGCAGTAGCAGTCATTTTTCTCGTTCTTAGTAGCTGGTGCAGTGCTGTGATTTTGACTTTCAGCCTGGGAATAGCGCTGATAACACCGAGGGTTTTAGTTGTTGCTAAGTAATGTTTACTCTGACCAAGGGCTTTCTGAGTCTCATGGTCTGCCAGGGAGGAGGGGAAGTTCAGAGGAAGCAGAGACAGGACACCTGACCCAAACTGACCAAAGGGGTATTCCATACCACAGCACATCATGCCCAGTATATAAACTGGAGGCAGTTACCCAGAAGGGCCAGATCAGTGCTGGGCTGGGCTGAGTATCGGTCGGTCGGTGGTGAGCAGTTGTATTCTCTTCCCTTGTTATTTCCCTTATTATTACTGGTGGTAGCAGGAGTGGTTTGTGTTATACCTTAGTTACTGGACTGTTCTTATCTCAACCCGTTAGTTACAGTCTTTCGATTCTCATCCCTCTGGGAGTGTGGGGAAGAAGAAGGTCGGGGAGTGATTGAGCAGCTGTGTGGTTCTGAGTTACCGTGCTTAAACCACGACTCTAGCTCTGCACCTCAGTGCTTGGTAAGAGATGCAACGTGGAGAGGCTGAAGCCAGTCCTGGAGAGGGCCACTGTGGGTATGACTGAACTGAATTATTTTGCCTCTGTGTTCTGCCTCCCTCATCTATAATATGCTTGTGACCTGCTTCTGAGGGCTATTTGTCTTAAAGGTTCGCATGGAAAAGGAAGGGGAAAAAGAATGTCACTTAACAGCCCCTGCTGCTGCATGTCAGTGGCATACCTATTGCTCAGGGGAGCATCAAGCATCTTGAGTTTGCTCAAGTTCCTTGCACCACATAGATGTGTCATGAGGGTCCTTGCTTCATTACTCATTTTCTGGAGAATGCCGGGGACATACTGTTACCATTGTGATGTGACTGCTTAGTGCGAGGCATTATGCCTATGGAGGTGGTGCAGCTACACAGCAGGTGCAGCAAGATCACCCAGCCATCTTTCTGCTCTTGGGGAAGATTCTGATAGAAGGAGCTTTCAGGAGCTACCTATCTGTGACACGAATAAATGAGAAAAGAGTAGCTTCAAGGGAGCAGGGAAGCCAAGCCGGGATTTTTTTAGCTGTCCTCTGTTTCCTGAAGACCATGGAAATGGTGGTGTGCCTGTTTATGCCCTAAGAAGATTTGTACTAGTGCTTCAGATAGATAATTGCTGGACATCAGAAATTCAGAGTATAGGTACTGCTGAGAACAAGTGCTGTATAAATTAGTCTAGTGTTTGGCAGATCTCTCATTAGCAAGGACTTCTTAATAAGAATTGTGATTTTCTTATTAATGAGGAATTACCCTCCGAATCCTTTTCATGGGAAGAAAATCAGAAATCTGACTTAGTAAGGTGAGGACATTTGGCTGAAGGCATGAAAGAGGTGATGGGAGAATGAAGATCTCACTTCCCCTCTACACAGTACACACAGTACACAGTATGCTAGAGATTGGAAGGGACCTCAAAAGATCATCTAGTCCAATCCCCCTGCCGGAGCAGGAACACCTAGATAATGTTACACAGGAATGTGTCCAGGCGGGTTTTGAATGTCTCCAGGGAAGGAGACTCCACAACCTCCCTGGGCAGCCTGTTCCAGTGTTCTGTCACCCTCACTGAGAAGAAGTTTCTCTCAAGTTTAAGTGGAACCTCTTGTGTTCCAGTTTGTACCCATTACCCCTTGTCCTATCATTGTTTGCCACTGAGTAGAGCCTGGCTCCTTCCTCGTGACACTCCCCCTTTATATACACTAATAAGGTCACCCCTCAGTCTCCTCTTCTCCAAACTATAGAGGCCCAGCTCCCTCAGTCTTTCCTCATAAGGGAGATGCTCCACTCCCCTAATCATCTTCGTTGCCCTGCGCTGGACTCTCTCCAGCAGCTCCCTGTCCTTCTTGAACTGAGGGGCCCAGAACTGGACACAATATTCCAGATGCAGTCTCACCAGGGCAGAGTAGAGGGGAAGGAGGACCTCTCTTCACCTACTAACCACCCCCCTTCTAGAGAGCGTAGAGCAGAGCATGGTAGAAGAGAGGAGTATCCTGACACAACAGACTGGAGAAAAGGCAGAATTAGCATTTTGGTGAAGATGGGGAGACCTTCAATCAAGGTGTTCTATGGCTAGTTTGGTTTACCTGCAACACAAAATACGGCTTAGGGGAAACTTCAAGTACAAAAGACTTCCTTTGGTGTCTCTTGCTATGACTGTCACCACAGTGGTTAGGAGTTAATATGAGTAGTACTGGGTACAGCCCAATGCAAGAACACCTTGAGAACAGAGTCTGAGGGTTGCACTGAGCTTTTGCTGAGGATTGTGTCTGAGCACTGACCCTCTCCTTGGTGGGGATGGCGGTGTTGTCATGGCCTTGCTGGAGGTTTGTTATTTTTGTGCATTTTGGCATGGTCTGTGTCTGACCTTCTCTGATGAAAATGTGCTGGCAGGAGAGGAGCATGGGAGGGCCCAGCACTGCTCTGCTCCTGCACTGAGAGCACGGCTGCTCTGTTTTTGCCACTTCACTGCCACCTCTGTGCAAACACAGAGCAGCTGAAAACCCTAAAGCAGCTGGACTTCTCAGGCCATATTATTACTGAATCCTCTCTCCCGCCTTGTGCTCAGCTGCTGATTAGTGGAAACGTAGTTTTGTGAGCCCAGCCAGAGAGAGATGGACAGATTTTGAAGTGGGTGTGTATAATCTGCGAACCCGCATTTAATTCTGACTGTTGTGGCAGAGGTCAGGGCACAATAAATGTGCATGTAAGATCTTGCACTGGTTTAACTGCATCAATTTGAAAATGGATAGGCATGAACAAGACCCAAACCCATCTGTATTGCACTTTTGAAAACCTGCAGTGTGGTAGTGAGGACCCCAAAATAAGCCTGACTTTCCTCCATAGTACTGTCACTCCCTCTGACTGCCACAGGCACATACTGCACCAGCACAGGGGAAGATATTTCAGACAGGTTCAAAGCTGCACCAGGGGAGGTTTGGACTGGACGTTAGGACGGATTTATTCACTGAGATGGTGGTCACACAGAAGAATGGGCTTCCCAGGGAGGTGGTCGATGCCCCAAAACTGTCAGTGTTTAAGAGACATTTGTCCAATGCCCTTCACAACATGATTTAAACTTTCATAGAATCATAGAATCGCAGAATCAACTTGGTTGGAAAAGACCTTTAAGATCACCAAGTCTAACAATTCCCCCAGCACTGCCAAGGCCACCACTAAACCATGTCACTGAGGGCCTCATCTACATGGGTTTTGAACACTTCCAGGGATGGTGATTCCAGCAGTTCCCTGGGCAGCCTGTTCCAGTGCCTGACCAACCTTTTGGTAATTATTTTTTTCCTTATATCCCATCTAAACTTCCCTTGGCACAGCTTGATGTTGTTTCCTCTTGTCCTATCACTTGTTACCTGGAAGAAGACACCAGCCATCTCCTTGCTCCAACCTCCCTGTAGAAGTTGCTGTTGGTCAGCCCTGAAGTGGTCAGGCAGTTGCACTAGATGATTGTTGTAGGTCCCTTTTAACTGAAGCTGTCTAGTTCTGCTCCATTTCATTCCATTCTATTCTACTCTGGCTTTTCAGTGTAGGCTGGTATGACAAGACATCTTTGCAAGACTGACTTAAGCTTCTCAGCCTTTAAGGATTAGAAAAGACTTCTGCTTATTTTGTTTTCTCTGGTTGAATGCAACACACGAGTGCTTTAATCAAGTTCTCATGGTGCTGCATTTTTCTTCTTATTGATCCTTATAACATTTTGCCTGGCAAGTAGGAGCAGTATATACAGAAAGTTCACACAGCTGTGTAAACGTTATTATCATCAAGTACTGCTCTGCTGAAGAGTTGGACAGATTTGCCAAAGCATCAGGAGAACAACTTTATTAAGCATAGGAACCTGAGCTTATAGGTGGTATGCTCAAGTAGCTGATGCTGTGTCACACATCCAGTTGGAGCTGCACCTGCAGGGGGAGTGAGGATTTCCAGAGGATCTGGATAAACCCACCTGTTTGCCAACAGTTGCTCCTCCACTCAGCTGGCACAGCTGCCTACATAGTCATCCTCTGAGCAAAGACATGTCAAAATGACCTGGTTTGCTTGAGCATTTTCCCAACTAAATCTAAAGCTTCCTGATGTATTTTCACCAGGCTGGTTTAGGAAATGAGTACATGAGCTGGTACACTGGCAAAATCAGTGAAGGGGTAAGCTGTGGTGGAGTTCATGGTGAGGTACTGGAAAGACTAGGGGATAAATGGGAAGTGGTGGCTGCTTCACTTGGATCCTAGCAGCTCAAGCAGGCAGGGAACTCACTGCTACAGTTAAGCATGTACTGGGCTCTATTGTCCTGAAATAGGTGTGTCCCAGTGTCATTGCAACAGAAGAAGAGCTGAGTTTATTCAGCCTAGGGGAGGGAATGAGCTATTCATCCCAGCTGGGGGGAATGAACTGATGTCTTTAACTAATGATGGGAGGCTATGGAGAAGACAGTGATACACAGTGGCGAGGTGAGAGGCCAAGGACATTGGCTGCATGAAGGAAGCTTAGATAGAACAAAAAAAATTCACTGTGAAGGTAATCAGGCATGGGAACAAGTACCCAGAGGTGTGTAATCTCTACCTTTGGAAATAGTCAAAAGTGACAGGACCTGAGCAACATGATGTAACTTCGAAATGGGCCCTGCCCCCCTTAGGAAGGCAAGGTGGCCTCTAGAGGTCCCCATCAACATAAAACATTCTATGATTATAATTTTTATGGCATTTTAAATTAGATGAAAGCTGTTAATCTCACTGAGATGTAAATGTTGCTTGCACTCAAAATAACTCACAACTATGCTCACTACCCAAATTTTACATGCGGAAAGATGAGGCAGAAAGATCATTCATTCGTCCGGGATGCAGCAAGGATCCCAGCTCCTCTTCCTGGGGGAGAAGGCCAGCAAGCAGAGCAGCTTTGTTACAGGGTGTTCCTGCAGCTGTGGTGTTACAAAGCTTACACCATCAAAATGCCTTACTACAGCTCTGTAAGTCTGTGTACTTCACAGCTGTAACAGAACATGCCACATCATATGACATCTTACATTAATATATAATTAAAATATTAGTATGGTATACGTTAATTCACTGGTAGCTGTGGAGAACACTTCCAGCAAGAATCCTTACTAGTATATGTGTAACAGAGACATAGAAACAGATAATAACAAACATAATAAACTGAAGATGCAGAAAGCCTGGGTGGGTTAATGGCAGCCACTGTTCTGCACACACAAAGTAAACGTGATCTTTTATCAAAGGAGAAGTCCGATCTCCTTTCTGGGGAGCTGGCAGAATATAGGAGGCTGTTGTGTACCAAGTCGGTAAATTGCAGTTATATTAATCTATATGTTGTGGGTGTACTTAATGGTGCAGATAATGATAGATGGAGAGGAAGGAGTTGACAGAGGCAGATGCAGAGGGCTGCTGCTGAGTGAGATATCTCTCATGATGGCAGATCCATCTCTTCCTTACTCTATGTCAAGCTGCTATTTCTGTTGTCAAGACTTTTCTTAACAAACTTTCTAACTATACAGAAAGTTGGTGTCGTGGTTTAAACCCAGTCAGGTAACTTGTTCACTCACTCCCAGTGAGTGGTGCCAAGCTGACAACAATCAAGGTCCGTGTTCGTCTCCCCCCCCCCTCCCTGCACCGGGGCTCTCCCCTTCCCCGCTCCCGGAGGAACGGGGAGGAGGATCGAGAGAGTGCAACTCCTACGGGTTGAGACAAGAACAGTCCAGCAACAAATCACCACTGCTACTATCAGCTAAAACAATGATAAGGGAAAATAACAAGGGAAGAGAATACGATAC